GACTTTATGACGGTAGCAACAGGGACCTCGTAAAGCGGTACAATCGTTACCGAGTGCGCAAGCTCTTTTGCTTGGCCGATACAGAAATGCTCTCGCGATCTTTCGATATACATAGATTGCAATAATTTAAGCCTCTAAATGTCAGAGCGTGTTTGCCATCGAACGCCGAGCTGATGAAGCTCCGTACAGCGGCATGTCAAAGCGGGGCTATTGATTTTTATGCACGAAAGAAATACGTAGGTGTAAAGAGCATGTGCAGAGCGAGCGTTTTTCCCTTTTTAATCGGAGATGAAGTGCACTTCTTGGAATCGTTTTTCAACAAGAAATTTCTTCCGCGCGACCTATTTCGAGAAAGTACTGCTAATATCACAAATCGCGTGTTGTGAATTTGATAATGTGAGATCGCAGAAATGTAAACGACGTTTTATTTTTTTTTTTTTTTTAGTTTTCATCGAGTTATTCTTGTTGCACGTGGCACAAGTGAATTCCGCCAGAAATTTTTTGCACACTTTATCTCTCTATCGCGATGGGACGGCAATTTATTCATTGGAAAGTGAATCCCTCTCGGTGTAATGGTTTGATAAAGTTTTGCGTTCTCGGCGGTTGCAGCGCTAAATTGCGTGTTGAAATGCAATGGTACAGCTCATTGGCATCCATCACACACGGTAGGCTAAAAGTTCATTTCGACTCGCATTTGCAGAGAAACAGATTACGCGAGTAATTGCATTTCTGGTAAATTAAGGAAAAAGCTCTCTTCTCGCTTGATGTAGCAAAAAACAATCATTAATAAAATTACTCGCTGAAAGCGAGGGGATGTATTGCAACGCAGGAAAAACGAAGAAGTCGATTGTGTGTTTTAGAATGCTCACTGCATTAATAACGAGTTTAAATAGTGTGTAAAAGATTTTTCCCGGCGAATTTACGCTCAGAAAATTTGCTTCGATTCAAGACAACATATCAAAAGGTTATTTTGAAACATGACTCAGTAAGGCAATTTTCTAGATTAGAAATGGCAGCATCAGAAGTCAAGTAACAAATTGGCTTCATTTAATTAACTTTAAATTGGCTTAAGCAAATGAGTATTATTGTCAATTGCAATAAAAGTTTTACAAGTTGATTAGTGTGCTGCAGAATATTATTTGTTTATTATGAAAGAAGCATTTAATGAAAGAATGTTCAATGTACTTTACATAATGAAATTTTAAGGAAAAATTTGTTTTGTCCGTGTCAAGTTCAATAGCGTAAATTATTTAGTTTGAATTATTAATCAATTTACATTGATTGCAATAATTAATGTAAACGACATAATACTTATACCTAAAGACGCAAGATACATATAAAACATGACAAGATCAGTCTGCATATATAAGATATGAGGGACTTAAAAGCAATCGATCTCGAAAAGAAACATAAAAATGGAGTAAAAAAGCGTCGCGTCAGCAACAAGTATTACTACAGCGCTTGCGATATATACGTGCAGCGATACATTTTTATCTCAAAATGTAGAGTATTAAACGCGATCGTAACCGAGAAGGTCACCTGTGCGCGTATAGCTGTAGCACGCGCCGCGTTTTCTATACAATTGTTCTACAACGTCAAAAGATGGGAAATTCCGATTTTTTCGATTTTGCTAGAACTTCCCGTTTTGCCCGCGTTGCGATCTGCTATAAAGAAATGTGCGTCAGCGGAAATTTTGCCGAAGCCGTTTACGTCACAGAACCGGCCTCGCTCTTTTCTCTTGGAGTTTATAATTTTTCTCAAGAAGATGAGCCTCTTCTTTTCTTTCGTGCTGTCGCACTGTAAATGACGGTTTGCGGACGCCAGTCGTTAGCACTGATATAGCTTTATGGCAAAAGTTTGTTAATAAAAGTTTGCTTACGGGATCCTAAAGCAAAGGACACGTGGGGGAGACAAGATTTAGTTTAGTAACATGGATTTCGCGTCTTTGGAAGTTGAAAGTCTTGTGGGAAAATGAAAATAAACATCATTAGTACGCTTTTAACGAGGTTAATTGCTATTATGATATCGTAATATATTGACGTCTGAAATTTTAAAGAAATAAAAGCGTAGGATTGCGAATCCGAAAAACAGAGGGTTGCGAACAATTAAAAGGAACGATGAAATGATGAAAATTACGTTGGAGATTTCTTTTTAAAAGACACTCTCTCGCGCGGTCAAAAAGGTCCTTACAGTTGAATTAAATTGCCGCATTAATTAAAAATAATCAACGCAGCACCACAAAAAAAAAAACATTTTTAATCCAACACTTTATTAATTTTTGTACCGTACACTAATAAAAATAATAGATTCTCAATGATTTGTTCTGTGAAATGACAGTTAAATAATTTCAACAGCGTTTTAATTATATTCTATTAGCATTTCTATGCGCGTTATAAATAACATGCGCTGAAATGTACAACTATCTGATCACTGGTGTAATCTTAGCGGTGACAGAACCCGCATTAATGATGAAAACGGTGTTTTAGAAAAATCGCCAAGAGGGTCTTAACATAATCGGCACAGGTATAAAAACTGGATCTTTCCACCATATTACGATCGACCTTTAAGACCGTTGCCGAATATTGAAGCTATCGCAGACCAAATAAACAAGCTCGCGTCGAGGGCTTGATAAATTTCGAAACGACCGATAGATACAGCCGGTATCTTCTGCCATGCGAGAAATCGGCTGGGCGTGTGAACTGAAAAAATACCGGTAAAAGAGGAGGATCGTGCAAATACGGCGATGCCTTTCAATACCTAAATGGAGTATGAATAAATCGAAATTTTCACGAAGAAGAAAAATAAATTCATGAATATAATAAATAAAACATCAAATTTATTTAGTTTAAGTAAAATTCGTATGAAGCTAAACTTGCTGTATTTACCAACTGCATTTATTAAGGTATAATATTTATTTAAATAAAAATTCTTTGACTGTATTGCTAGAAGCAATGTGCATCCATTAATCATGAGACACTTCCTTGAATATTATATATGTGATGGTTAGGTGAAACATGATACAAACGTTAAAAATAGTAATGTTTTAAAAAAATATTTGCTGAGAATCCTCCATAAAATTCAAAATAATTTAATGGCACCGCAGGCTGATATGCAAAAAGGACACACTAGAAACGAAATTAATAATGACAACAAAATGTCCCTGCGGTAGAATTTTGTCTGATGCGTAATTTTAAAAGTACATTAAAATAAAATGTGGATAAAGATAGAAATGATGAACAAAAGCATAATGAAATAACAGAAGAGTGAGTTTATGTCAAATTTTTAAGTAAAATTAAAGAAATGCACATATGTACATAGCACAATTAATTTTAATTTTTGTATTTATTCAAGTAGCTAACATTAATTGAAATTAAAGAGGCAGAAAATTCAAATATTTTCCAAGTATTCCTGTTTCTTCTTTGTGATATAAATAAAGATGTAAAGAGAAGAAACAATGGAGATGATATGGCGCGGAAATTCCAAAGCTGCCAAGAACATAGAGAGCAAAGAAGAAACCAACGTACAAATATTTCTAGCGGCACCGGCTGGGAGGAACACTCTGTGCAAGAGCTTTCATCTCCGGGCCGGGCCAGGCCGCTTTTGCAATAGTGCAGACGCAGCGCAAAGAGATTTTCCACAGAGCCAACCGGAATATACGACGAAGAAATGCCGATTATGCACGATTAAGTTTATACGCAAGAAGGATCAAGGACGTAAGCCTTGTATCATAAGTTCACGTGTACGAGCTTCTTATCAATTGAGTTAAATCGTTTTGTAACACAAACACGCAGAACAAATTTAATTAATTTTATTTATCATTAAAATAATCAAAAAGGTGCAAAATATCGTTTCTCTTTTTTTTCCACCTTTTTGCGTGATTGATGTGAAAAAATGTGGATTATAATGATCGAAAATGTAGACATCTCGTTTTACTTTGATATTACGTTAAATATTTATCGTGACATACAACGTTATTGTGACAATGTGTAATAATATTAATCTTCAATATCAGTATGTAAATTTTAATATTCAATTTTAATCATATATTTATACATTGTTTTGACGTGTATGTAACATCATAATATCATAACGTTCAAACGTGAGCCTTTGGTATTTAGTTTTGTCCGAACACTCCAATTGTGCAGCATAATTAATGCCAAATGAGCAGCTTTTATTGATCAAGAGAATGGAAATATCGTGTTAAAGTGAAATTTGCAATTCTAATGTGACTTTCGTAACATAACGACCGATTTGCACGAATAAAAGCTTTGCGTTGACATTGATCTTAGGACTGATCCTGCTGTGCTATGTACTTAATCGCGCGCGATTCCGAGGTCTTAGGCATAGACCAGATCTGGCGGCTGTTGGGATCGTCCATTCCGTGCTCTGTATTTCGAGGGAATCGATGCCAACTGTTGAATATTCGATGCGCGGTGGGTATCCAGGAGGATAAAACTGGTCGTTAAATAACCGGCTGCGTACTCCGGGCACGATCTATCGATTACCTGGATTTCCATCCTGATTCGATTCTCGCGGATCGCCGAACAGCCCTCGCGGCTCGGCTTGCGTGATGTAATTACGGACATTTTGGTATATAATTCGTATCTGCATAGCTTTACATTTCATTACATCTAAAAGTATCCGATCGGAGATGAATGCGATTTTGTTCCTTTCATTCTCATTGAAATACGAGTGAAATATATCAGCTTAGTGAATAAAATGTAACATTTCTCAACAATTATTTCCTATAGTTGAAATATTATCACAGATCTATCTCCAATATTGCTTCACTTTTAACGTCAGGTATATCAATATTACGTTCAAAGCCTAATTTTTTTTAATACAAATTTGATGCTGTTCTTATAAAAATTGTGATTAAAAGTGGACAAGCAATATAATAATTCTACAAATAAAATTTTGCTTTATAGATTCGTATTGTTAATAATACGAAATAATTAATTGGGATAATCTGAAAATACCGTATGAAACAATGCACTTACCTTCTTCATTAAAGACGTTATTACATTGTTGCGCAACATCTTGACGGCTCTCGATCTCGGCTATTCTCAGCGGAACAAATAGAGAATACCTAAGTTGCGCCTTTCGTCACTTCCTGCTGACCGGTGCTTGCATAAAGACTCGTGGTCCCCGTTGCTGATTTTCACGACCGCCGACCTCGGCTCACAACAATCCTATTACGTCTTCACAGCCGCAAAATCTTGATTGGTGGCGAAAGCTGAAGCCATGCGGCTCCCTTTCCAGCCGCGAAAGCATCTCCTGCGACCCGCCTTTAATAGTCGTCACTCGTCCTTAATACGACATGGGAGCCTTCAGATTGTTGCCGTGTGCTCTAAAAACAAAACGAGCGTTTAATTACACGCGACTGAAGGCCTCGGGGCAAAAGTAGGCCAAGCCTGTAATTTATAACGTTCACTCTACACCTGCTCGCTTAAAATGAATCTGATAAATCATAGACTCGATCCACTTCACTTCTGTGAATGAATCGCGATAATGCATTCAACGATCATTAAAGCTTGTTCCGTTCTGCAGTCATAAAAGCTTCTTTAGCTTAATATTAAGCGCTGCAAATTCTCCTTTAAAGCATCGACAGGTTTTCAGAGTTCTTGTGCCATACACCACTTTGTAGTTTGCAAACAATGCCTCTCGCAGGTTAACTAACTGCTTTGAGAGGAATGTTTGGCCGAACGTAACTTCGTTAGAAAGTTTGGACGCAAACAAATATTTGCTCGCGCAAATTAATATCTGACTTTGTTTCGTCGCATACGGGATTTCAGTTGCTGAAAGCGCACACGCGTCACGCGAGATGATTAATCTCACTTTTCCGAATGACAAGCCGATATTTTGGATACACGAAAATCGCTACAGTCAGCAATTTAATTGCAACACGATAATAAAATAAAATTGTCATGGTGCATTATTGGTATATTTTTGTTAAAACGATAGCGTAACACACATATGAGTGTTTTTTCACCTACTGATAATTTTTACTTTGAGAAACGCGAGCTTCTCCTAAAAAAGTTAAAATTATATATCGTTATACAGTTGATATGGAAACTGTTTACGTTTCATGTGCTATAAAATTCCGAACAGTTGCATTGAATGCGCATACTGTTGCATGTTACATGTACTCATACGTCAAGAGAATAGTTCAAAAATTCAACATTTATTCATTTCAACGCCCAGTATTTTCAATTGTTCGAAAGTGCAGGATGTGTCAAGGGATTTGATTCTCTCGAGTATAATGTCCGCGACAAAATAATTACAAATTCGAATTCAAAACGTCACAGCGTTTAAAACTAATGCAGCCGCATTTTGCATGTTGCAGCACATGTTTAGAACAAAGTTATTAATTTCATCCAACGACAATTCGAGCACGGAATATTTATTCATATGCTACAGTTAATAAAAATACAAAATTAAATTAGCGAGATAGTTTTATTCGACAACTTGCGCGACTGCAATTTAAGAGAATAAAATTTAATTGCGAACATGAAATGTTTTTGAAATAACGATTTAAAGTCATTAAAAATTAAATTTTTTATTGCAAATTATGAAACGATATATATAGGTATCAAGAAGTTGATACCTATATACTAAATTTAATCAACGTACTGATGTGTTATAGCACGTGTTTATCCTCATTAGTTGTAATTTCAATCAAGGAAATCAGCTACGCGGCAACTACAGGCCCTTAATTCTCACGAGCATACTTGATCACAACGGCATTGTAATTATGAGTTTAAATTACATAACGTAGCCATTGAAACTAGTAATAAATTTACCACGTAGCATATGTAGATTATTCTACACGGTGACAAATGACCGATAATTCTTATTATAATAATACATATTAACGAGATTTAATTAATCCGATAACTGTTCTGCTTTTATTTTTATTTTTAGCTGAGAATTATGATCAAATATTATTTTTAGATCTGATAATACTGTAAGTGAAAATTTAGTAAATACAAATAATTTAGTCGGCTTTACAAAAATACATGCAAAGAAATTTTTCGGAAAAAAATACGAATTATTCTACAGCGTCACTTCACGAACATTAATTACTATTTGTTGTAATTGCGGTAACAAGTTTGTTGCTTTTCAACATAACTTCAAGCGCAAACTGATTCCGCGCGGCAGTGCAAAAAGTAGTCTATTCATCTCATCGCGTGCGTTTTGAAAGTCGCGCTCTCCTCCGCGTCGCATTCCGCGGATCGCGGAACTCATCGCTCGGCGAGACAAATTTCTGCTGCAACCAGGTTTCATGGTTACGTGAATCATAGTAATTGCGATGTAAATAGCTTCGTTAACCATTCCGCTTGGTGGAATTAGCGCGACGCTGCCGCTTTACCGTCGTTCTAACGTCGTTGTGCGGCCGAAATTTGTTATTACCGAGCTGCGTTTAGAATTTTCCCTCATCGGGCAGTTCTACTTTGCGTATGCGCAGCAATAAATTATATGGATGATGTCACACATAAGCATTCAGCAGAAATTTAAACGTTAGTCATTATACAATATTGTCATATTTTCAACGAGAGAATGAAGCGGAAGAATTCTTCATGTTTTTCGGGATGCAAAATGAGGAGAGAAAGTGGGAAGAGAAAAATTCACATTGCACGAAAGAACGAAATTCTCGTAGAAATAAAATAAAAACGCAATCGAACGTGGCAATAAGATGATTATACCAATTTTCGGGAACCAGAGAAATAAGTGGAAAAATATCAAAGAGATGAGAACGGAGTGTAAAGGGTGGAGAATCATAGAAAGGAGGACGCTCGACGTAGAAGTAGGAGAAAAACGAAGGAGGCGGAATGGAATTTCAAGCGCTCCGCTCGTAATACTCTGGCGTATATTAATTTATCTCATAATGATTTCGTCGTGGCGCCCTAGGATAATATTCCTCGAACGCGGGGCGTCTGTCTCGGACGAGGAGAAACGGACTGTAAGAAGTAGTTTGGTATTCGCCCATATTAATTATCAAAGTTAATATACGCATGAATGTGACGCGATCGACAGGCTAGCAAAGCGTGAACTTCGTAATTATACGAAAATTTGACGGACTCGCAAAAGCGAAAGGCTTGTATCGAATAACACGTTGCTATTTTGTAGGGGAATTAAGTTCAGTGAGCCACGTTAATTAACGAAGATGATATGTAGGTCGTATGGGGATGTTAATGACCGTCGTATTTCACGGCGAATGAAGATTTCACTGTTGTACTTTTATTTATTCAGCAATTAACTGTCGTTAAATAAACTATTCGGTTGTTTAAATTTTTTAAAGATTTAAATCAATTTTTTTTGTTATCGAATTTGTTTAGTTTCTTTGTACTTTCAAATAACTTTTTTACGCATTTAAATTCTTTGCTTCTAAACAAATAGCAAATAATTATTTATAAAGTCACCTTCTCACGGCATTCTTACAACGAACAACGGACGTTGAGATGACGTTGAGATGATGTTGAGATTAAGACAAATTCTAAGAAGAGATTTAGATATTACGAATGAAAGTGGTGTTGTATATAAGTATCAAAGCATGATACGCAATATATCGGCGACGGATCGCCTTAGAGCGGAGCGCAAACAAGCCACCCCTGCGACTTACGACGAATACTCTGGTTTGAGGGAAACTCCGATGACGTACGAAGCGGAGACAAAATTATCCTGACGAGGAGATCGGCCACGCTTGTGTCTGTGCTCGCGGAACGCAGAAATATCGACCACAATGATCGGAACAAGGACGGGCTTCAGTCACGTTTGCAGATGCAACAATGAGCGCCACGCTTATAGAATCTCAGGGAACTGTGGTTTGCATGCAATATCGTCGATGACGAGAAAAATCAGGACAAACGCGGGAGGCGGGATGGCGGAGAGAATTTTTCTGCCGACGATATTCATAGCTGTGATGCGTGAAAAATTCACAATGATAATGCGACAAGGAAACGCCGGAGATTGAACTCGATGTTGAACAATATCGCTTGCTGCGATATTAATACACAAAAGCGTATTTTATCTCATTTTTTAGATATACGCGAGAAAGAAAAATTATTACCATTTAAAAGATTATTTTCCGTTCGTACGGTATATGTCTAGAATATGGTGGATATTTATATGCTATATTTAATATTAACTGTGTCAGTTCAATATATGTTCATCTTGAAATAATATATTTTCATATTAATAATATCTTTATAAGGGAAATATAAAAGGATCAGAGATGATCGTATTTCGCATTAAATACGGGATAAAGAGTTTTAAATTTAGCAATCGTTAAACTTTTCAACTGCAACATGTTTTCTGGGCTACTTTTCTGCATTATATATATTTTATGACGTTTGCTATTTTTACTTATTAATATGAACGACTTTATTGTATTGATAATTCTTTTAATGCATTTTCGAATGACCTACTTTTTGCCGGTTAAAATACACGCAATCTGGAATCATATTGGCCACCGTGAAATCAAAATTAGTTAATTGAGAGGAAGTTGTGAAATTAGATGAGTTAGATTGCAGCACTGTGCGGCCTGCCTGCGGATACACGGACACGCTTACGCTTCTTTTATATGCACGAAATTCCACGCGGAACAGACGCGTTCAAATTATCGTCCTTTCTGCTCGAAAACATATCCGGCTTACGTAACAATGCCGACAATAATTTTGCTGCACTGTTACCTTTTGAACTATCAAATTGGCATAAGTGCATAGCAACCCGTTAATTAAATCCGTCGCTCAAAGCGATGTTGTAATTTGTTTAAAAACCGCCTTTCTTGATTTATGAGAAATTCAAAACAAACACAGGCTAATTAATTTAATTACTATTAATTTAGTTTTAGTGAGTCGTAATAATTTTTGAAATATTGTACGCGTGCGCATTCATCTCTTTATGTTTCTCTTACAAAATGTTGTTGCAATTTTTTAAATTTATCGCACACCGGAACTCTCATGGAACTCTTTTACTTTCTTGTGTAGGACTCCTCTTTAAATTCTTATTGAATATTAATATAAAATAATAGAAAGCTATCTTATTTCACTCGAACGCAATTTCATCCAGTCGCCAGTAAAGTCGTCGTGCGAGTTTCAAGCAGTGACGATTAAGTAGAAGACGTTTAATCAACTTGGAATTTTGTGCACATAAAAGAAAATTAGAGCACACGTATGTCGCGTATCCGCAGGTAAACGATGATTGCAATCTGACATATCTAGTTTCACGACTTTGTCTTAAATTACCAATTTTGATTTGACCTCAATTCCACTTAAAGAGGACGTCTATAAATAGCGGCAAAATTCATCATGAGCCAATTGTGTTTTCGGCTTTGCCGTTACGTTTTCG